TAAACAAAACAGAAATTGCCACTTTCAAGTTTGTTTTTTTTTTAAATTGTATAATTCATAACAAGTTTGCTTGTCGGCTTTTTTATTGGAATTACGCCTGTTTGCCAAGTTTTATTGGCATTGATTACGCGCGAAACCGGATCCATCCCCTAGTTGGCCATCCATAGAGGTGCAATATTTTCTTCAAATTTAAATGGGACCAATACTAAGGTATCTTGAAGTATCTTCTTTACAACAAAAAAGAATCATCAAAATCGGTTCACAAATGGCCGGAGTAATCACATAACATACGTAATTATATTCGTAATTTGACGTGTTTTTACTATATTATGTACGGGACTATTTGAATTGAGTAAGAAATAAATAGTTTGGTACCTACTAATAATAAAAATACTTGACGAAAACCATTGTATTATGTGTGTGTTCATAATGAAGTTGCAGTGAAAATCATGTTTTATCTTGGTGTTCACTTTATCAGGTATTTTCTTTGTTACAGACTTTGTACAAAAGCCTCACCACGAATGCTGGGTGACCTGCAAACGGGGACGCAGTTTTAAGAAACCTCTATACAACGGAGCAGGATGCGACCAAATGAACCTTGTGTAAAGAAATATATATATTTTATCAACATAAAGTTTAATATCAAAACATATTAAATTAGGAAATAAATAAAATTAAATGGCTGAACAATAATTTACGATAGCGTACTTATTGTCCGAGATCACAGAATTCATTTATGTTATAGCAATACACACTATAAAAGGTAAACCGGTTTATAAATAGCATTCTTAACTATGGCATGCATTATAATTAACATTTGCCTAGTTAAATTTAACATACGTATGTACCTAATTCCTAAATTAAAATATTTAACGCTGACATCGACTTAGATGCACAAAATTTACTTAGAATAACCATAGTCCACAAGGTGACAGCTACTTGTACTACAGTAAATAGGAAAATCTTACTTCATGGAATTGACGACACTGGTAAACGACTCACAAAAACATATTAAAACTAAATCCGAAAGTATTTATTCTCCTACGCTTATTGATTACTGTGATGACCGATCTACAAATAAATGCAAAGAATTTAATGTTGATCCAGAAATCCGGCGCTTTTGACGATGTTGTATATTTTCTCGCGCGGGATCTTTTCTGCCTCACGTTCGACCACTTGCATTTCCTTGTTAGTAAACCAGGATTCTTTGGCAAGACCAGCAGCTATTGCGGGATTGTCATAGAAATCGTTAGACTTGAGCAATTCTCTGGGGAGTAAAGCTTCACTGGCTGCATTTAATTCGACAGCTGGGTGGGGTTGCACTTGTGGAATAGCTGTTGGAGCGTATTCCACTCCAACGGGCTGCAAATTTTGGGTATAGAGCAACCCTGGTCGAGCTTGGACGACCGCCAGGAAGGCGATTGCTACGATCAATGAACGCATTTCAATCTGAAAAGTATAATCTTAACTTCAGTTTGACTGATATTTACTATCACTAATAAAATACAACGCTACCAAAACTTAATAAAATACTATATCATTTGTTTTTGTATCATTATCAATGTCGAAAATGTATTAATAATTTCATTTCGTTGTTCATACTTATACCCATAATATTCAATAAATATACATATATAATACTTATTATTCTCTGAATTTCTCGTATATGCGTATTGTATGTAAATGAAATCTGTACTTCCCATTCTGAGATACATTAATTTATCAATGGATTGAAAAGACGTTACAATAAATTTACTAAATAATTTCATATACATCTTCAAAAAAATGTATCAAATATAAACAATAAAAGACATGATACTTGAATTCAATGCACAAAAATACAATCGCAACATCGTAAAAAGCAAAATTTACTTACTATTTACTAAAGTCACGGTCACAGGTGTCACAATCTGAACGCAAGCGTACGGCGGCCGCACTGCACAGGCTCATACAGTAACAGCAATATATAAGCCTTTGGACGTAATCAACCTTCTGCGCATTACTTCCGGGACAGGACCGGCCGTTCCATCCGCAAGATACTGGGAACTCAAACGGAATTGCTTTTGACAAGGATGTTTTAAATTCTTTAACTCGCACATTTTATTGCAGACTTGCCCTCCGCTATTATTTTAACGACAAAAACTGAGCAATCGATATTTCATTAAAATCATACGTTGAATGATATCGATCCATACATGTTATGGGCTTCGTGATGGTCGTGTAAAGGATACCCGTCATGTCTAACTAAGTGTACTTACACCAAACTCAATCAAAGTTATCCATATAAATTTATGTACACAAAATGCGGAACTAGTACATCCGGCCGTTTGACTTCCGAATAAAATTTAAGCATTATTTATATACAATGTTTATTTGTATCTTTGAACATCCACGTAGACTTATATATGCATCCGCCAGCTTATATTAAATGAATTCAATTTATTTATTTACTCAATAATAATGCGAGTGGGCTCACATATTTTGATTAATCGACAATTATACCCAATTGGGTTCAAATTTTACCAGTGCGTATAATGACGAAATTACAATAACTTGACAACTATGACTCTACCTGAGTAAGATGATGTAAGTTGTGAGATCATTCCTTTCCGGTGGATCGAGAGATATATTATTGAATTATTAAATAATATTCAGTTCATAGTTGCTAACCTTGCAACTGCGACTAGGCCAGAGGTCATTATCACTTCCGCACTACTATCTGTATCTACTTACACATTAATGTTATAACTTGAGTTATAGTTGTCTATTACAAAATTACTCAACTAAATAGATTTGCGACTGAAGACCAGGCGTAAGGAGAAAATATCTTGGAAGAAGTGTTGATGAAAATCAAAATCACATTCAAAATTACTGATGTTGATGAAAAACTAAAAAATTTGATATGAAATAGTGATATTTTCAACTGTGTTGTTCGTTTTGAGAAATATTTTGTCTGGATAGAGCGCTCACAGAATTTGAAATTGGTAAAAACGTTTATGAGTCCTTTAGTTTGCTTGTTTGAGGTAATGTCTGCATATTGAAACAATTTGCAAATGTATTTTTTACAATTAATCTTTTAACAAATGATAGCGATCATATACTAAGGGAAGTTATGGCAGGCGAAGGTGTGGGTGAGAATATTTGTTTATTAGAAAAATTATCATCTTCATACTACGCATACTCACTACTGGGCAAGGGTGTCCTGTGAAAAGAGGGTTTAGACCATTGCCTGTTTTGCGAGCTTAGTTGGTAACTTCAACAAATCTTCAAAGAGTTACGTTTCTTTTTTAACGGAAACGACATTTTCCTTGGCATAATCAAATAGTATAATTAATAAAAATTTGATCAACATTACCACAATGATATACTATTCTGAATGAGTAATGAAGCTAAATGACATTATTATTATAATATCGGAACCACTTGATACATTAATGGCAATTATGGAATCTGAACCAAGGTCGGCTCTGTACGTAGTAATGAATGACAAAAGCAACGACGACACTTTTCGTGTACAAACTTACAGTTTGCTTTCCAAAATTAATGACGTACTAAGTAATAGAATTTAGTTAAGCGGTTACAGTAATCTACGTGACAGAACAATAGATTAAAATTGTATGCTTGTAGCCGTTAAATCCAATGTTACCACGCAATAATGTCTTAATACTGAAATTTGTAAGAACATACATTGGAAAACAATGGGAAATGTATTTTATATGGTGTAGTGTAAATTAAAACCAATGGAACAAAATTGGTGCATTAAAATAGTACCTATCGCTTATTTTTGACTGTGTATTCTGTGTCATTACACAGCTTATTAGGGCGAGGCACATAATGGTTTAGGTATTTACTATTAAATAGCAGTCTTATAAACGATATATGATACACCCAAGGATACTGTAGACTGGTTGCGAACTACGGTTGCGAAAGAGTCCGGAAGAGTAGAGAATACATATAAAAGGTTGTAGAAGAAGGTGATAATGTGTTACACGATAGGATGTTCATTATCCGATCGTATAAAATCCTGAGAACAGCCTAAAACTAAAGTCTAAAACGAATTATTTAAAAATAAAATATCTAACTTCGTACATAATTTGCATACGGACATATTTCTCTGTAAGTACTGCAGAGAGCCTGCTAAATTTTCAACTGAAGCCCTACTATTACTAAATTCACGTTTATCCCAGAATTTGCAAATTGCCCAGCGCTTTAACGCGCTCCGCCCGCTGCCCCGTCAGTAGCAATCGGGCGTTTGTCGACGTCGAATCTGTATCTAACTTTCTTCCGCCTGTTGTTATTTTATGCATATTCATGCAGCGTGCAAGTGGCGAAAGGCGACCCGACGACGAAGTTTACAAAAAACTGAGATACTTATATTCAACACCGAAGTACGCGAGAACTCTTTTTAAAATGTTAATATTACATAACGCTAGACAATGAAGGAAAAATATTTGTAAGTATCATAAAATATTACCAAAGCAATATTATAATTAGCGTAGATTGTTTAGCAAGATATAGTGTACAAAAATATAAATAACTACGTGGGTAGATGCGATAAAAATATCAAAATTATTTAATGAGCTGTAACTCCCATGAACGCAGGATAAGTGATGCAAGTCCTTGCGACATAACATAAGCATACATACTCGCCATCTCGTTTACGTAACCGACGATCCACTTATTAAATGTTAATAAGATGGGGATAATTTTTGAAAATATTTAATCTATTTCAATGTTAATTAAATCATTTGTGTACAATAAACTTAAAATACTGTAATAATAAAACCTTCATCGGTTTTTGTTGCGATTTTCATTTATTTATGTAATATACCGTTGTCGTTGATGGTTTTCCTGATGGTTACAGGTCGTCATGTTAAAGGGCAAAAAATATTGTTTTCACAAGTACTGATTTTGTAGTGGCATTGTGAAATATTAGTAGATTTTAATTTATTGAAATTTAAATTGACGTTTAAATTTATTTCTGTAACGATCCCTTAGTAGTTTACGGAACTTCTTTATCTTTCTAGCTGGCACCAGTGTTTTTGGTTTTTCGAAATTTGACGGTAAGCGTGATTTAGAAACGGTAAAAGTAAATTTTGGCCATTGTGTTGTTTCCTTAAGTATTGATGCATGAAGCCCAAAACGTGATCTGAGAATTTCACGGAAATCTCTTGTTTCTAATGCCGATGTGGTTTCCCACATCAGAGGCATGTTGTAACTATAATTTTTCTTGTTTGGTTCATCTACGCTGCGAATACTATAAGTTGATGTTGAAATACCATTATCAGTAATACTGCCAGTTTTATAAAATCCGGGCGATCTACGAATTGCTTGCTTAGACCAATAGTGTCTATCAGCCAGTGTAATAAACGGTTTTCCTTTATGGCCTAAAAGAGGTCCAAACTGATCTCTTGTACCTTTTTTTGTGGGAATCTCCTCGTTCATAGATCTTACATTTTTGTAAATATCTACAAATGATGGTTGAGATCCATATAATGCCAGCTTAGGGTAATGCGTTGTATCTTGAAAAATAATAGCTCGTGGGCCAAAACGTGCTTTTAGGATTTCTCGAAAATCCCTAGTCTCTCCTTTCGAAGTAGTTTCCCAATTTGAAGGTTTTTGAAACTTAATGGATCTCAAATTATTTTTATGATTATCAGCCAAAAGTACAGCATTCTTAGATGTTTTAACACCACCGTGGTGAGAAAATCGAACAAAGTTACCTCTGAGAGTTGTAGTTCTGTGTTTTAGTCGTTGGGTCGAATACGTACGAATTGTCATCTGTGGCAAGTAAGCAGTATCCTCGACGGTTGTTAAATTGGCTTCAGTTATACTTTTTGCATCAGATTGCAATGCCACAGGCCTCTCTATGTTACTTTCTGAATCTTTCTTAAGCGACACATGAGATACATTTAAAGCTAATTTGTTACTCCAATGGGTTACATTTTGAAAAATTCCTGTATGAGACTCGAACGGGATCCTAAGAATGTCACGAAAATTCTTTGTTTCCTTTTTAGAAGTCATTTCCCAGTTTAAATGGCGTTGATGCATTGGACTATGAGCCTGAGACTGAAGAGTGAAATTTTCATGAACATGTAACTTATTCCAATAATAATCATGAAGTACATTTTTTTGTAACCTAATTGATGATAATGATTCTGCTAGTTGCACATTGGATGTAATTTTTTCCTTAGATGACTCAATGTACTCGTAATTTTCCATTTCCCCAATATCGGCCTTGGATATGACATTAATGCCGTTACTAATTGGTATCGTCTTAGCTAATGCAGGCGAACTATATAATTTGTGTTTAGATCTGAATGTAGTATCACCAAGTGCTACCATCTGTTGTCCATAAACATTTTTCGTAATTGGTTTATCCATGCTGCGAGTTTTTTCTGAAAATAACGGTTCAGATTCGTATATAGCCAACTTAGGCCAATGTGTTGTATCTTTAAGAATGATAGCTCGAGGACCAAAGTGAGCCATAAGGATGGCTCGAAAATCTCTTGTCTCTCCTTTAGAAGTAGTTTCCCAAGTCGATGGCTTTTTAAATGTTTGTAAAGATGTCCATCTATTTTTTTTTGGGTTACCATGTATAATCGCCATAACAGGTACTTTAGATATATTTGTTGTATTATTGAGAAGTAATCGTATAAAGTCCCGTTTCAGAGTTGTAGTCCTAAGTTTAAAGTGTGGGGTTGAATGGGTATTCAATATAGGTAATTCCTGCAGACGGGGAGTGTTCTCAAGTGTTTTGGCTTGTGATCCAAAATGAGTCCAAAAACTTTCACGAAAGTCTTTTATCTCTTTTACAGGTAATGTTTTCCAAGCGGAGAGCTTGTTGTAGTTTGTATTATGCTGTTGGATATCTTCGACGTCGGTGTTTTGGGATGCAATTACTTTATTGGTTATTTTATTAACGCCTACATTATTAAATAGTGAATGCTTAACAGAAGATCGATATGCATGTTTGACCCAATAATTATCAACTGTAATTATATCCTGTTGTCTATAGTGACGTTCAAAGTTTCTTACGAGATCTTTAGTTTCACCTTTTGCAGTGGATTTTACGATGACAGGATTTTTAGTGTAATCTTGAGGATCTTCATTAATTGGCAATTGAGATTTAGATAATGTTACTTTAGGCCAATGTGTAGTATCTTGGAGTAAAATGGCACGTGGTCCGAACCGTTTTCTGAGGATGTCACGAAAATCTCTTAATTCTCCTTTAGATGTTGTTTCCCAATTTAAAGGTCCTTTATATGATTTAGTAGATTTCAAATTACTTTTATAAACGTCTAAAATTGCTTTTTTTGCTCTACTAGTATTATTACTATTAGGTTGACCAATAAAATAATTTACAAGGGCATTTCCAAATTTCAAGTGTGATGTAACGACTAATTCAGGCCCATAAATAGTAAATTTGCTAGTTTTATTGCAACATGCAGTTTTTGTATTTTTCGTAGTTGTAGTGTGAAATATGTCATTTTTTTCGTTATTCGTTAGGTGTGTAGTAATACGGCTATAAAAAGGTAATTTAGACCCCTTGTGATAATTTAAACCAGTTGTAACGATTTTTTCAACATCTTCCTTTAGATCCGAAAAAGGTTTCTTGCGTCGCCTAAATTTGAATTTGAATTGGTGATTTTTAATAATAATTGAAGTTAACGTAATTTCATTTCGTGGTTTTATTTTGGATGTCATTCGTCTATACGGCAATGATGTAGTGATTTTATTCTTAGGGTAGAACTCTGCTAATGAATTCACTGCTGTTCTACCAAATTGTTTAGAAGTAGTTTGGCCACAGCTACAACAACTGCATTTGGGTGACGTCACATCACCGTGAGTACATAAATCCTCCGACGCATTTACAATTGATAACGTAGTAGTTTCGGTATATTCTTCATGAGTGTCAACTTCTATAGCTTGGCAAAAACAACTACAGAAATTATTGCAAAACACGCCACAATAATCTTCACTGATCACACTGTCATTGAAAGATCTAAAAACATTATCCAAACTTCCTGAAGCAGAACCACTCAAGGATTTTTGTGTCTTAAATGGTGCGTCTTGTATAGATAGGCTACAGAAGGTGTTGTGAATACTGTTACAAAAACTGTTGCACATGTTATTACATAGATTATTTTGACAACACTGAGGACTTCGTTCAATTGTTTCATAAACGTTACTAGTACTACGTGTAATTAAGGAGTGCCTTAATAATTGCTTTTTGATTGTTGTAGATTGTACTCTATGTTCAACTTTGCGTAAATCTCGTCTTTGAAAGAAATTTTTAAATTTAACAACATATTTTGATTTACTGGCTGTACTTTGACTTAAATCTCTTTTAAAGCGCATTGCATTAAGAATACGAAAAAAGTCCCTAGTCTCGCCTTTGGAGGTTGTTAACCAAGTTATTGGTCTATCACAATTGTTTGGAAACCCATCACAATGTTTCGCTGTTGTTTCGCTGACAGAAATAGAAATTGGAGTTTTTAAAGTACTTGATTTGGTTGACGTCGACATTGTTGTAGTCTCATCTACTTGTTTATATGTCATTGTCTCCAAAGTAGGTTGAATAATTTCATTATTCACCGGTGTTGATTGCTCTAATGTTGCAATTTCCGTAGTAGGAAAATCTGTCACTGTAGTTGATGGTAAATTAGTTATGTTACATTGTGTGACTTTTTCTATTATATTAGAACTACAAAAATTTTCTCCAACGGTATTACAGAAACTACTACAAAAAATGTTACAACAATAAAAATTTTCTGTTGTAGATTCATTCCACTTTACGAACGACTTATATAGTCCATTACAGAAACCGCTACAAAAAGTTGTACAGGTTTCTATAGATATATGATCATTTTCTGATTTATCCGAAGGCCGATCAACGAATTTCTTTAAAGTCGAAGAAGTAACTGTTATTTTACTGCGTTCCGTATTTACCGTGGTATTGACTGAAGGATGTATTTCTGTGTTTAATGAATTTTTAGAAGAAGTTAAGGTTGTCGATTTATTAGTATCTGTCCTATCACTCGTTGTCATCTGAGTTTCCCACTTAGTTACATTAGTCTTGATGCCACTTGGAGCTACAGTTTTGTTAGCCAATGATTCTGTAAATGAAATTATAGGAAATACAGATGTATACTCTTCTGATTTTTCACTTAAAGTAACATTTATTTCATCATCAGAGTTTTTAATCATTAATATTGGAGTTGTACTCTGAGATGCACCTGCATCATCAACAGCAGATACACTTTTTGTGGCTAATGATTCTTTAGACGGAATTGAAGGGAATACAGATGTCTGGATAGGATAAGTCAATATCTTTTTAGTCCTATCCATAGTTTCACTTGCTTTAATTGGGATTATGCTCTCGATTACGCCAGCGACAGTCCCGATCGATGATCCAGTATTTGTGCCAAATAATCCCCTAAATGAAATCGAGGGGAAGGCAGATGTGTCTCCTGACTGTTCAGATATTATGATTGTCGTTTCAATCTTATTTAAAATCTCACTTGTCAACATTGAGGTTATATTTTTATTTGTGTTTGTCTCGGAATCGATTGATGGTCCAGTTGCAGTAATCATTGACTCCCTAGGTGATGAAAACGTAAACATAGATGTATACTCTTCAGCTTGCTCAGATGAAGTGACTGTCACTCTAGTACTAATTGAAATCTTACTTGGCAAAGTTGGATTTAAACTCTCAGATATGTTTGTTTGGATAGATGGAGATACTTCTGTATAATCTTCTAATTTTTCATACAAAGTGACTGTCACATTAGTGCTATTTGTGATCTCCTTTATTGACATTGGGGTTTGGCTGTCAGTTGCACTTGTGTTAACATCGATTAAATATGTAGTTTCTGTAGTCAATGGTTCCTTAGAAGAATATGAGGGAACTATTTCCCCATTTTTCTTCTCTATGGATGTAAATTCTTCACTTTCTTCAGGTAAAGTAGGAATTGTTTGAGTACTCTCAAATATATTTGTCTCAGATCCAATCTTTAAAGAAGTTTCTGTGATCAATGATGATTCTCTAGACGAAATTGAAGAAAAATCTGATGTAATGGGTCGATTTTCCTCATACAAATTTGTTGTATCACTTATTGATATCAGGGTTGTGCTCTCAAATACATTTGTCTCCAATCCAGTCGATATAAAAGTTTCTGTGGCCAACGGTATCCTAGAGAAGGTGGCAGGAAATTCTGATATAATAGGTCGATCATCTTCATACGAATTTCTTGCCTCAGTTATTATTATTGGGGTTGTACTCTCAAATACACTTGTCTCCAATCCAGTTGACAAAAAAGTTTCTGAAACCAACGGTTTCCTAGATAAGGTGGCAGGAAATTCTGATGTAATGGGTCGATTTTCCTCAGAAAAACTTGGAGTCTCACTTATTAATATTGAGGTTGTGCTTTCAAATACATTTGCTTCCAATACAGTTGATAAAAATGTTTCTGTGAGCAACGGTTTCCTAGACAAGGTTGCAGGAAATTCTGATGTAATGGGTCGATTTTCCTCATACAAATTTGTTGTCTCACTTATTGATATCAGGGTTGTGCTCTCAAATACATTTGTCTTCAACCCAGTCGATAAAAAAGTTTCTGTGGCCAACGGTATCCTAGACAAGGTGGCAGGAAATTCTGATATAATAGATCGATTGTCTTCATACGAATTTCTTGCCTCAATTATTATTATTGGGGTTGTACTCTCAAATACACTTGTCTCCAATCCAGTTGATAAAAAAGTTTCTGAAACCAACGGTTTCCTAGATAAGGTTGCAGGAAATTCTGATGTAATGGGTCGATTTTCCTCAGAAAAACTTGGAGTCCCACTTATTAATATTGAGGTTGTGCTCTCAAATACATTTGTTTCCAATACAGATGATAAAAATGTTTCTGTGGGCAACGGTTTCCTAGACAAGGATGCAGGAAATTCTGATGTAATGGGCCGACTTTCCTCAGAAAAACTTGGAGTCTCACTTATTAATATTGAGGTTGTGCTTTCAAATACATTTTTTTCCAATACAGTTGATAAAAATGTTTTTGTGAGCAACGGTTTCGTAGACAAGGTTGCAGGAAATTCTGATGTAATGGATCGACTTTCCTCAGAAAAACTTGGAGTCTCCCTTATTAATATTGAAGTAGTGTTTTGAAATACGTCTGTCCCATATTCACCCAATGTTACACTTTCTGTGATCAACGATCTAGGCAAAATTGTGGTCAATACTGTATTTATTTCTTTTTCCTCTACTGAAGTGACTGTCATTTTAGTGCCGTTTGAGATGACAATTGTAAATATTGGGGTTGTGGTCTTATATACATTTATGTCTAATCCCGTTGACAATACAGTTTTAGTGATCAACGGTTCCTTGGATGAAATTGAAGAAATTATTGATGTAAACTTTTCTTGCTCCTCAGACAAAGCAACTGTCATTTTGATATCATTAGTTAATATTGAAGTTGTACTCTCTAATGTATTTGTTTTAAAATTGATAGGCGTATCTTGAGACGAAATTAAAGGATGTACTGATGTATACTGTTCTGTCAGTTCCGACGTAGTGACAGTCACATTAGTACTACTCGAGATCTCATTTGTTATCATTGGGTTTGTACTTTCAAAAAGATTTGTCGCAATGCTGGGAAGTGATGTACTTTCTTTGCTTAATGTTGTGGATTGACTCCCGTACGATTGTTCCGATAAAGTAGTAGCTGTTGAAATGGAACTTTCAACCAATGTCATAATTTGTGTTGTTTGTATGTCTGTACCATCATTTCCCTCATTTTCACCAGTAAAAGTATCCGTATTATTTTCCAATTGTCCTGTAGGAGTAGATTCAAATTGTTCAATCTCTTTTGACAGAGTCTTTGAATGTTTCGTGGTTTTTTTGTGAGATGAAGTAGAATTAGAATCCTTCTTTTTTTTATGAGAGTTCTTCTTTTTTTTTTTGTGAGAGGAACTAGATTTTTTTTTCCTTCGTTTTTTACCTCTTTTAGACTTTGAAGGTTTCTTTTTCTTTTTATTAGAGGATTTCGATTTTTTATGCTTTTTCTTTTTACCATTTTTAGACTTTGAATATTTCTTTGATTTATTGTGAGATGACGTAGATTTATTATGTTTTTTCTTTTTACGAGGTTTGGAGTTCGAATGTTTCGACTTTTTGTGAGATGAAGTAGATTTCTTATGTTTTTTCTTTTTACGAGTTTTGGAGTTCGAGTTTTTCGACTTTTTGTGAGACGAACTAGTTTTATTCTTTTTATTTTTATTTTTGTGAGTTGTTGTTTCAGAACGTTTAGTTGTTTTTTTATGATATCGAGTAGTGCTATTCAAAGTATGAATATGCAGTGCCGGTTTGTTACTTTCAAATTCGGGTGGCATAGTACTAAGTAATAACGTAGTTTCCGTCGAATCTCTAGTCGTGTGAAAGGAACTTAAGAATATCTGATCATTGCCAGGTGTTACTTCAGGTACTGGCAATGATTCAGTAGTTTCATCACGTGTGTATAAATCTTTACCGCTGGTATCCCATAGTAAAGTTTTAGCATCAGCTTCATCCCTTTGAAGCGTTGTTGGCCCGTATTGTTCAGTATGTCTTGACATTTCATTATAAACATCAGTCGCTGTCGATTGTTTAGCCAAAATTATATTAATGGTAGTGCCATCTGGAGCATTACGCGTCGGTATCCTGCTAAAGTTTTTAAATTTCGATGGCACAATAACACGCGAGAAGAAAGAATCGACAACTGAGACAGAGTTGTTACTAACCATCCCGATTGGAAGATCGAACAAAGTTACTCTCGGTTCAGTGTCGCCTGCTTTCTCAGTCAGAGTTGCGAATTGTGTAAAGTGTGCGTGTGTTATAAAACCTTCGAAATTTATGTTTGATGTAGATGTCTTACCTTGAGATTTTTCTATCACAGGGGTTGTAAAATTATATTGTTCAGTCTCTTCCAAAACTATGTCGATTGAATCGGTTTCCGAGACCATCGAATCTCTGGATGTAATAAGGGAACCAGTGGCTGTTGGCTTAGAAACTTTTGTAACTGGAGAAACTATCATTGGTTCAGTTGTTTCATAATCTTTGTGTGAAACGTCTCTTGTGAATGATGTTATAGTGTCGTGGTTAGTATCTTCACTCCAGAGGTTTGTAGACCCATTATAATTCGTCTCTATTGAAGTGTCACCAATATTAGCAGTGTCCATCGATTGTTCGGTCAAAGTTATAACTGAACTCATGCCAACGAGAGTTTCGCTCGCCTCCATCTGGTTTGTACTTCTAATTTCAAAAGGCGTAGTATCAAATGAAGATATTTCTGAAGATAGAATAAAAGAATTAGTAAGTACCGTCTTAACTGAATGTTCATCCACGTTTGATATCGGTTTTTTGCTGTCTGAAATAGCGGTCAATGTCATTAGTTCTGACGAATACGCTTCCGTCATAGGTCTCCCAACTTTTGTATTGGACAACACTGTATTACTTTGACTTTCTTCTATCGACATGATTGTACTCCTATTTTGTACAGCGTATTGTGACGGTTCATCTAAAGCATCAGTCGCGTGACCGAGTATTGTATTATTTATCATATTGCTAACCGAAGTATCACTTAGTGTAATACGTTTCCCGCTATTCGATTCCATGAAAGTAGTGCCGTGCACAGACGCGGTTTCCGAGATAATCAATTCTTTGGATACAGAAAAAAAACTTGTGGATTCAGCTGTTTCATCATATTTGTGAGAAACGTGGTCGATCGTGAAGGATGATATAGTTTCGTGGTCAGAAAATTCACTCCAGAGGTTTGCAGACCCATTGTTATTCGTCTCATTTGAAGTTTCACCAAAAATAGCTGTCTCCATGGATTGTTCAATCAAAATTATAACTGTACTCGTGCCAACTTCACTCGCCTCTATCTCGTTTGTACTTCTAATTTCGGAAGGCGTAGTATCAAATGAGGATAGTTCTGAGGATTGATTAAAAGAATTAGTAAGTACCGTCCCAATTGATTCTCGATCCATATTTAATGTCGGTTCATTGCTGTCTGAGATAGTGGTCAATGTCATTAGTTCTGATGAATGCGCTTCCATCATAGGGCTTCCGAAGTATGTGCTTGACGACACTGTATTACTTTGAGATTTTTCTGCGGACAAGATTGTAGACTTGTATTGTTCAGTATAATTTAAGAGGTTATATGAAGCATCGGTCGCGTTTGATTGCTCGACTTTTGTATCACTTATCACAGTGCTATCCGAAGTATAGGTTAATGTAATCGATTTTGCGCTACTAGATTCCATTAATGTAGTGCCGTGTGTTGAATTGGTTTCCGATGCCATCGAATCTCTGGATGTAGAAAAACAACCAGCGTCTGTTGGCTCAGAGATGATTGAAATTCGAGAAACTATCATTGCTTCAGTGTTTTCGCCATCTACGTATGAAACGTTGTTGCTTGTGAACGATGATACAGTTTGTTGTGATGTATTGTGTTGATGAGTTTCTTCTGCGGACAAGATTGTAGACTTGTATTGT